GGTAGGGTTGTCAAAATTCTCCGTCCCTTGTGTCATATTGTTTCATATAAAATCGTAAAGGTACATTTTAGGACTGAGTGTACAATTTATATGTGTTGACTACCCAAGACGCAGGTGTGATGATTCTCAGTGATTATAATTACCTGTTTGTACACCTGTATTGGGTTACCTGTCGTGGACCGCTTGAGATAAGGATGACCATTTTTGGCCCTAAACACTGACCCGCGCCTCCAGGATAAGAGAGCAGTGTAACATGATCGATTAGCTATCATGTCGTGTAGTGCGTATGTATGAGTGAGTTATCCTGTCGTGTAGTGTGTGAGTGAGTTATCCTGTAGTGTAGTGTATGTGAGTGAGTTATTCTGTCGTGTAGTGTGAGTGAGTTATCCTGTAGTGTAGTGTATGTGAGGGAGTTATTCTGTCGTGTAGTGTGTGAGTGAGTTATTCTGTCGTGTAGTGTGTGCGAGTTATTCTGTCGTGTAGTGTGTGAGTGAGTTATTCTGTCGTGTAGTGTGAGTGAGTTATCCTGTCGTGTAGTGTGTGAGTGAGTTATCCTGTCGTGTAGTGTGTGAGTGAGTTATCCTGTCTTGTAGTGTATGTGAGTGAGTTATTCTGTCGTGTAGTGTGTGTGAGTTATCCTGTCGTGTAGTGTGTGAGTGAGTTATCCTGTCGTGTAGTGTGTGTGGAGTTATCCTGTCGTAGTGTGTGAGTGAGTTATCCTGTCGTGTAGTGTGTGTGAGTGAGTTATCCTGTCGTGTCTGTGTGTGTGTGTGGAGTTATTCTGTCGTGTAGTGTGTGAGTGAGTTATCCTGTCGTGTAGTGTGTGAGTGTGTGAGTGAGTTATCCTGTCGTGTAGTGTGTGAGTGAGTTATCCTGTCGTGTAGTGTGAGTTATCTGTCGTGTAGTGTGTGTGAGTTATCCTGTCGTGTAGTGTGTGAGTGAGTTATCCTGTCGTGTAGTGTGTGTGAGTTATCCTGTCGTGTAGTGTGTGAGTGAGTTATTCTGTCGTGTAGTGTGTGAGTGAGTTATTCTGTCGTGTAGTGTGAGTGAGTTATCCTGTCGTGTAGTGTGTGAGTGAGTTATCCTGTCGTGTAGTGCGTATGAGTTATTCTGTCGTGTAGTGTGTGTGAGTTATCCTGTCGTGTAGTGTGTGAGTGAGTTATCCTGTCGTGTAGTGCGTATGAGTAAGCTATCCTGTCATGTAGTGAGTGAACTACCTTGTCGTGTAGTATGAGTCGTGTGTGTGTGTATGTAGGCCATGCTGTCGTGTAGTATGAGTCATGTATTTGTGTATGTAGGCCATGTTGTCGTGTAGTATGAGTCGAGTATATGTAGGCCATGCTGTCGTGTAGTATGTCATGTTAAGATTATCAGACAAACACCCGATCTACCACATCAAAAAAGACCTTAAAAAAAAACACACACACACACACACACACATCAGATAAGATCACTGATGCAATGCTGGTCAGGCTCAAGGTATCGTATCGAGAGGCTGTATGAAGCAAACCACAGCTAAGACTCTTGTTTATGTTATACTAATTTAACTAAGCTCTTATTGTAATTAAATGTATAACAGAGTAAGAGCCTTAGATATATTGCTAAAAGAGACTCCCCCCCCTCCCTCCTCCTCAACCCCCCCTCCCTCCTCCTGAGGTATTAAATTAGGTTAGGTTAGGTTTGGTTAGAGTTTGTTTGTTTTAATCCCGATAATTTTCTTTTCCAGTTGCGGCACTAATCATCATCCTCCAGTGGACCTATTCCAGAGAGAGAGAGAGAGCATCATTCCTCCCCCCGATTCAATGACAAGGATCGACAAGGGTGATGCAAACGACCTGGAGAGTTAGGTGCAATTGACACGTAAACACAGACCTAACATGTGATTTTAAACCTATTAGTCGTCAAGCATTGGTGATAAAATTGACAATGATTATTATAGTGGTGGTGTTAACATGTGGGCTGTGGGGCTGGGGGGCTGGGGGGCTGGGGGGGGGACTATAACCACCACCAAATGGTACACAATTATACGTCAACATGTACCCCGGGAGAGGCGCTACCAATAATTACACCACACTGTAGGCGGTCACAAGTTTTTTTTTTTTTTCCTAATTTTTTTTTTGCTTTCAGTTTTGTGCTTTTTCACCCGGAGAATTTTGAGGCGATTCTATAAAATGGTGGATGAAAATAGCGAGTTTCTGTACAGGAGATGAGGTGATGATCATGATGAGGGAGGCGGTTGATGGATGAGTACTGTGTGACCCTATCCTAACCACGGCTTGACCATTACCGCACGGGCTACGACCATCATAACCGCATTAACCACGACCCCGCGACAGATCATAACCTCACCTAACCACTCCCCAAGCCACGACCATTACCGCACTAACCACGACCCACGATCCAACCATCACTTCACTAGCCACGCCCCACGACACGACCATCACCTCACTAACCACGCCACAAGCCACGACCACCACCGCGCAACCACAGACCCATGACCCGGTAGTAGTCGCCCTCAGATCACTTAAATCAACATCTAAGAAATTATACAGTCCATAATAATCTACACATCGGTAACATTACACATAGGAAACAAGTTAAAAACACAGTCACGATAAACACAGGTGACTGCCCCAGGTGTGATAATGAGACCTAACAGGTATATACCACAATGATAATTATCCAACACTGATGGTATACTCAGGTGTGTAGGAGCCGTTGTATCAATCGTTACATTATACAGACTAACATTTAAACATGAGACTGGCAGGAACTATCTAGACACTTAACTACATTATGTAAACACTAATATACAGTTACTTCTGACATGTATAAACAAACACAATCTATTTAATACATTAGTCGTAATATCATTATAGGATGATAATAAGTTTCAATTAATATATACTGATATACATAATCATATACGTATATAAATCAAATATGTATTCTGTAAACACACAAACATATATAAACAAACAAAACAAACAACAACAATACACAGTAAATAAGACACAGACACACAAACACACAGAAACAATAATAATAAGACATTGATTAAAAAAAACAACACTTACATAAGGTTGATTTTCCTCTTTTAGATTACGAACAACTCGACCTTAGTGGAGGTGACGGCCAGAGTATAGCAGCGTAACTCTTGGCTCTTGAGAACTAAAGATCATTGTCTTCCCTCTACCACTCAGTGTGTTGTAGGCAGGGAGGCGTATAGGTGTAGAAACAAAACCGAAAGTGACACTGTGCGTAGAATGACAGTGTGCGTAGAGGGACAGTATGCGTAGAGGGACAGTATGCGTAGAGGAACAGTGTGCGTAGAAAGATTAAATGTAGGTAGAATGAGTGACAGTGTGCGTAGAAAGAATAACAGTGTGCGTAGAAAGAGTAACAGTGATGGTAGGTGAAGTAAGTAAAAATGGCAATGAGTCAAGCAGCAATGATAAGACAATTGAAGTAAGCATCAATGAAATAACAGTAATATGGCAATTTGAAGTAAGCAGCACTGATATGACAATTGAAGTAACATTGATATGGCAACGTGAAGTAAACAAAGATGATATGGCAGAAGAAGCACAACTGGGCAGCGAAAATTTGTAAGTGTTCGAGATAAACAAATGCCGGCCATTACCTGTAACACCTCCATCACGTCTCACTTCTTAACTCTAATTAGCCAGGTGAATCCAGAGTTTAATTTGGATCTTCAAAATTCTTATATCCTGATTGACTTCGAGGCTTGGCTCTTGGCTCTCGCTCTCTCTATTTTTCTCTTTCGCTCTCTCTATTTTCCTCTCATCTCTCTCTATTTTCTTCTCTATCTATGTCTCTCTCTCTATCTCTACCTCCATCTTTCTCTATCTTGCGCTTGAACTTACTTCCTACACATCCGCTCTCTCCTTCCCTCCCTCCTTCCCTCCCTCCTTCCCTCCCTCTCTCCCTCCTTCCCTCCCTCCTTTCCTTCCTTCCTTCCTTCCCTCCTAAGGCTGTCTACACTAATTGCTCTCTTACTTAACTGTTTTGACCTATTAATTCCTAACTACATGTTCCAGACTAATGGCCAACTCAGTACCGTATGTCTGTCCTCTATCTGTTACCGCTGGAGTTAAATAATTCATCTAATTTATTATCTGATATAACTGAAATAACTCCTTTACCTTTTACTATACACAAAGGTAAGACTACAGGTGTTAATTAATGTAAGGTAGCCAGAACTTAAAGTTTCATTCCCTATGTAAAATTAGTCTACAATATGATGTTCATTAGAGGCGTATATTATTTTTTATTTATTTAATGTTATTTATTTTTTATTCGCTCTTAAGAATCACGGGAGTATATAACAGGGCTTGGCTCAGTGACCGTCGCCTGCACTAACTCTCAACACTTACAATTACTCAGTGATTGTCAAGTTGTGCTGAGGGAAGGAAAAGGTTTTTGTCTTCAATTGTTTCTTAAGCGAAGAGAAAGAGAGAACTGTGTGTGTGTGTGTGTGTGTGTGTGTGTGTGTGTGTGTGTGTGTGTGAACAGAAAAATAAACACCAACAACAACAACACTAACTCTCTCGTTCCTCTCTTTGTAAATCAGCTGTAATATCATAAATTAATTGCAACAAGACGACTACACCAAGAAAACACTAACATATGCTCAGCTGATTTGAGTTTCAACCTTAATCAAGTATTGTTTCAGGGTTGCCAATTAGAAAAAAAAAGAGATGAAAAATTTCGAGGTTTGGAACAAAGGAAAATGAGTCTGGTAGTCTGAGATACCGACACGAGTGACTCTCCTGAGTTAGCAGCATCTAGGGGGGTTGGGGGGGTTTTGGGGGTGTGGGGAGGGGGGACAACAAAGATCATTTTCCCGAGGTTAGAGTATAGGAAAATGAGCATCATGAGCAGCAGCAGCAACAACAACAGGAGGAAGAGGCAGCCGCAAAGCCCATTCTCTCATACACCCAACCAATAATTTATAACACGATAAAACATTGCCTTACCTCATGTTCCCGTTTGAAGGGGAAATATTGCATTTCCGGAGGGGGTGGACCATAATCTTGCATGCCGTACATGTTGGCCGTGGGGAAGATGGTTACTGCTTACACTCCAAACTTTTACAATAGATCTACTGTCGTGGGTTTTTTTTTGTTTGAGGGGGAGTTTCTACAGGCAGTTTTTTTATATATTTTTTTCCAGATTTTAAAAGATGTCAAGTTATGATCAGCACTAGTACAGGTAATGTATAATGTTACGTGTTGGGAGTGTTGCACTTAGACCACTCCGTTCTCTTTCGTATATATAATCTCTTAAACTTTTTTTTTGCTATATTATGTTATATCACTGGCGCAGCACCACTTGTTATATAGCACAAGAGCTATACGTAGCAGCGCACTATTGCACTATTAGGGGGTCTATTATTAGCACACAAGTAGCACCAAATGTTTCTTAAATGTTCCCTTTTATATATATATATTAATTTTTTTGTGTCAGTCGCTAAGCCCTTTCTTTACTAGGCTTTCGTTGATCGTCGTTCGTTTACTCTAGTTCGTTAAACTCTCTGTTTCAAAAGAGTGATGAACAGATTATTAATAGATGAGCAAATCTTGATGTAAGAGCAACAAGTAAAAAAAAAATAATAATAATCACAGAAAACAACAACAAAACAAACACACGATGATACATGATACATAACAAGCCACACACACACACACACACACACACACACACACAGCACCACACCTCGTCCTTGATGGTTGTGTGGTAGTTAACTGTGTGTGTGTGCGTGTGTGGACCAGGGTGGTTGAACAGCGGGAACAAGCAGTCCTAACTACCGTGCCACTACCAGATATGGCATTATGTTCGAGTTCTCAGATGATGCGGATTTAAATGGAGGGGAGGGAGGGAGGGTAGAGATGGAGGGGGTAGAGAAGGAGGGAGGGTAGAGGTGGAGGGAGGGTAGAGAGGGAGGGAGGGTAGAGGTGGAGAGGGGTAGAGAGGGAGGGAGGACAAGGGTGTTATAAGCAATTTCCACTAAGGTTGAGAGTTGGCATATCGTAAACATGGTGGGGATGAGGGGAGTGGGAGAGTGAGAGGGAGAGGGAGAGGGAGAGTGAGAGGGAAAAAGAGGCTGGCTGAGTAGGTGACGGCGCTCAGCTACTGACGGTGTTGCAACAGATTTAATCTGATGAATTATATTGTCATCAGGGTCGTAATCGCAGCTCACGCACTTTAATTGCCATTACTAATTACTAGTAATTACTAGCGACACTCATTCAACCGGGCCCGCTGCACTTCGCTAATTACAAAATCAGCGAGGGAGCTGTGGAGTAATGAGCACTTGAACAATATACCCCACCCCAGGGTCCCTCACACACACACACACCGCCCCTACTTCCTCACCTCCCTTACTTAGTCCCACGGCGGTAACCTAAACCTCCTATCCAACCACGACCATCTACGACCACCCACTCCTCGTCACTAACCACTAACGACCATCCGCGTTTCCTCACGACTAGACGACGAAAACAGCCGGTTACCTTAGTTAAACTGATAACGAACCCGATAAAACACAGAAACCGATAATAACCGAGCAAAATTACACATAAACCGATAAGAACCCGATGAAACTACAAAAACCCCGATAACGACCCGATCAAAAGTACGCGAGAACCGATAACGTTCCGATCAAAATTACACGAGAACCGATAACAACCCGATCAAAACTACATAGAAACCGATAACAAACCGATCAAAACTCATAGAAACCGATAAAACGATCCAATAAATACTACGGGTCATCCGATAAAAAACTACACACATTCCGATGATCAAATGACCGATAAAAAAGAGCTGTCAATGACATTACATCAACCCGATACTGAAAGAAACTACCCGATGCTGTGAGAGATTACCCGATGCCGCAAAGAAGTATCCGATTTTAAAGTTAATGTAACGAAGGGAAACGACACTAAAAAAAAACTCTCCGATTATTCGACCGATAACGATGATCGGCTATCAGATATCATCATCTCCCTCAGTTACCGATAAAACTTGACAAAGATAAACCCGATTTCTATATTCAAACCAGCAAAGACGATCCGATTACAGTGACGCAATCGGTATTTGAGAATCAATGACGGTAAACCGATCGCAATGAGATGACCACAGACGGAAACCCGAATATAAACATGCGTCCCGATTACAGCAACAACTAGATAACGCTGGATTAAACGCATAGGAGTGTAAACGACCATCTACGACCATGTATACGACTCAACACGACCAGAAAGACGACGATAAAATAAGCGACCGATCACTAACAAGTAATCCGATAAACGACCCGATTAACGCAACACAGAAACCGATACTGACGCGATTACTACTACACAAAAGGTGATAATGATCTCTAATCAAATCGACATAGAAACCGATTACAACACCCGATTAAACTTAACATAAAATCCCGATAACGACCGCGATTAAAACTACGAAGAAATTATTAACGACTCCGATAAAAATGTACATAAAAACCGATAAAGACCCGACCAAAAAATACATAAAAAACGATAAAGAATCCGATAAAAATGACACAAAAACCGATAACAAACCTAATTAAAAACTAAACAAAAACCGATACCGATCCGATCAAAGAATACAAAAAAAAAAGATAACGAACCCGATTAAAAACTACAAAAAACGATAACGACACGATCAAAAACTACAGAAAAACCGATAAGAAACCCGATTAAAAACGACACAAAAACCGATAACTAACGCTAACAGAAACCGATAACGACCCGATTAAAACTACAGGTCATTCGATAGTAGACCTCTGACTTAAGAGCGAAATAAACAATTCGGATAATAAATTTAGTCATTATATGTTGAACGTTCCGATAACCAAACTGGTAATAGGAATGAGAGAGAGAGAGAGAGAGAGATACGAAAGGAAGGAATGATAAAAGGAGAGAAGAAAGAGAATGAAGAATAAAATGACCGGATAAACGGGATATAAAGATAGGAAGAAAGAAAGAGACAGAGAAGAAACGAAAGAATGATAAGAAATGAAGAGAATGAAGAATGGGATAGGCAGATATACAGTCACCAACAAGACTCCTATCGCCTCTTCTGCTGTTTCACGAGCCCGGAGATTCACGTGAACCCGAATCAGTAAACATTGATGCATTATTCTGTCCATAAATGCTTCGGATTCACCGGTCTGAATTTTGGGGTTTGTGGTTCGGGAAGAGAGGCGATTAGACTTGTGTTTGGTTTCGTCATGTAAGTAGAAGAGTGGGTATAAGGAGACGCCTACAGTGAAGCAGTGAAACGCTTACAGTGAACCTATATACCGAACAGCAGTGACGGACAATTACCTGAGGTAGGAATCAACGGCACTGTAACTACTGCTGCTGTGAACTAGTAGATCAACACGGACATAGCTTTAGTGATTAGATAAAGGAGCCAATTGATCGAATCTTTGAACGGAGCAGCGACTGTCAGTATACGATACTCTAAAGCCCAAACGAACCACTGAACCGCAAAATCTGAGAAATGGATTTAAATGATAAGAAAAATTCACTGTTGTCTTCATCCGTCTGTCAGTCTGTCCGCTAAAATGACAGATCAGAATAACTGCTTACGTTCCCAATTGACGCGGATTTAAGGTTTCCGATTCTATATCACACGAGGGGTTAAGGATTCCGAATCTGTTTTACGGAGGATAAAAGATTTCGATCCTATTTGATGTAGGTTTTTATATTCAAATACAGTTACGTTTATCCTAAGAGATGTCGACGTTGATCAAGACTCAGCGAGATAAAGGGTTTCGATCTCACTCACTTCGCGGGCCAGGTAGAGTCTATTATGCCAGTCTGATTCTGAACGAAAATTTGATTCCAAAGTCTGAGAAGCTATTTAACGTGAGGAGAGTGTTAAGTAGTGCTGAAGAACCGTCACAAAGGCTCAGCCAATCAGGGAATGTTTATGCTACGACATAATTAGTGACGTAATATAATCGGCCAATCAACTACTACTTATGTATGATATCAAATAATGTAAAATTGACCAATCAGCGAGTGTTTATGATATCCAAGATAATACGAATGATGTTAAATACTAGGCCAATCAGCGACAAATTTTATGACATCACATAAAGAGTGAGATTTAATTGACCAATCAACTATTAAGAATACTTGTGACGTCATATGAATGAAGCCAAAAAAAAAAAAATCGGCCAATCAACGACTACATATATGACAACATGTGACGAAAGACATTAAGTAATTGGCTGAGACAGTGAATGATACTGACGACATTAATCAAGTTTTCCTGCTAATTATGGATCCATTTATCGCTCACTTAGCAGGACAAATGTGACAGTGACGTTATATTTAGCGAAGATGAAACTTGGCGAGGACAAGTGCAGATAAAAGTGAGTTTAGCGGACGAATTTGTGGATAAGAGTTGATTTGGCGGAGATATTTGAAGACACGGATAAATTTGGCGAAGACAGGTGTGGAAAATGAGTTTGGCGAAGACAGATGTGGGAAAAGGTAAGTTTGGCGGAGACAGATATGGAAAAAAGTATGTTTGGCGAAGACAGGTGTGGGAAAGGGTAAATTTGGCGAAGACAGGTGTGGGAAAGGGTAAATTTGGCGAAGACAGGTGTGATAAAAGTTAAGTTTGGCGGACGCAATAGTGGATAACAATTGATTTGGCGAGCACGTTTTTAGATAAGAGTTATAACTTGGAGAAGGAAAAACATATTAAATAGGGATAAATTTGGCGAGGGGAATTGTGGATAAGGGAAAATTTAGTGAGAACGGAACCTAGTTAGGATATATTCCGCGAAATTATATCAGAGAATAATATATACTTTATACATCATGAATAAAAGCTGATAGATTATATTTAGCGAAGATAACGCCAAAATATGATATATTTAGCGAAGACAACGCCAAAATATGATATATTTAGCGAAGACAACGCCAAAATATGATATATTTAGCGAAGACAACGCCAAAATATAATATAATTAGCGAAGACAACGCCAAAATATGATATAATTAGCGAAGACAACGCCAAAATATGATATATTTAGCGAAGACAACGCCAAAATATGATATATTTAGCGAAGACAACGCCAAAATATGATATAATTAGCGAAGACAACGCCAAAATATGATATAATTAGCGAAGACAACGCCAAAATATGATATATTTAGCGAAGACAACGCCAAAATATGATATAATTAGCGAAGACAACGCCAAAATATGATATAATTAGCGAAGACAACGCCAAAATATAATTGACGAGGACAACGCCTTAACAGGATGCATAACATAGGGGAAAAAAGACTATCGAGGACAACAGTTAGCGAGGACAACAGTTAGCGAGGACAACAGTTAGCGAGGACAACAGTTAGCGAGGACAACAGTTAGCGAGGACATCATTTAGCGAGGACATCATTTAGCGAGGACATCATTTAGCTAGGACATCATTTAGCGAGGACATCATTTAGCGAGGACATCATTTAGCGAGGACAAGTGGGGTGA